TTTTATTTGTTTTAATATGTGGTACACTGAATTCTTTGGTTACCGTATTGTTGATGCACCGATTTAATGTGATGATTTATGGATTATGACTGTTATCTGATATTTGTTTTGAAATGGTATATGATTACCATGTTTATGGATTTATGGAATTTATAACACGGTGCAATTGAATTTTTGGAATACGAATTTATAAATTACAGCTCTGATCAAGCTGGAAAATTTTACAGACCTAATGTGACTCTTAGGTAGGCTCTGCGGCCCTGAGATCATTCTCGGGTAGGCCCTGCGGCCCTAAGATGTGTTCTTAGGTAGGCCTCACGGCCCCGAAATCTATCTTGGGTAGGCTCCCAGGCCCTAAGATGTTCCCTTAGGGTAACGCTTTTTAAAGAGATTTACTGCAGTATAATTTTATGAGACTTTTTGGACTATGATATGTTTAGTGTACCTATAGTGATTTTATGGTAATATTGGGACACACTGAGCCTAGCTCACTTTTCGAAAATGTTTTTCCCCTTTCAGATACTGTTGGTTAGATACCCTGGATTGAGCACTTGGAGGATCAACATATCTCTTGAAGTATATCTGATTGTAATGTTTTTACCTTGCAAGTTGACTTTATTTTGTTGACATGGACCTTATTTTAAAGTATGGGATTTTAATATGATGACATTTTTACTATTACTATTCGGTTTATCGTGATTTGATTTTTAAGATATGTTTTAAATTAATTTATTACTTATTGGTATTATATTTACAAGTTAGGTTTTGATAGTATGATTTATTATAATTTCATGTCATTTATAATGTGATTTTACATTGTTTGAATAACGGTTTCGAAAAAATGTCTTAAAGAATCATAATGTGATCCACTAGACTTAGTCGAAACGCATAGGCCGGGTCTAGGGGGTTACACTAACCACAACTAATATTGTGTTCGTGTTGTATCGTATTTTAATCGTAACAATAATAGTTAAGTTATAAAGTTTACCAAGTGCCCATTCACACTTCCAACAAGTGGTATCTAGGGCTTGGTTCGAGTTTACGCAATGAAGAAAATGACCAACATGATTCAATCACAAATCTCGAGATTAACAAAGACGAACTATGAAAATTGTAATATACAATGAAGGTGGTACTTAATTCCCAAGATTATTAGGATGTCGTCGAAGAAGGTTATGCCAAACTCGAAAATGCAACGATAGAAGCAAATTTGATCAATGAAGAAATCCCGAAAGACAATAAAGCGTTATTTTTATTTTTCAAAGAGTAGATGAATCTACATTCGAGAAAATATTAGATACGAAAATCACAAAATAAGTGTGAGAGATTTTATAAACATCTCTTCAAGGTGTCGAAAAAATGTACGTTTACAATCTCTAAGAGATGAGTTTGAAATGTTGAATATAAAAAATACAAAAAGTGTTGATGATTATATTAATTGTATAAAAGCGATCGTAAATGAAATGAAAAGTTTAAGAAAAATATTTGGTATCTCGACAATTGTGACAACAACCATATGTGCGACTGAATGGAGCTATTCGTAAAGTTAGGTGAAACAATTTATTGTAGAGTAACATTTGGAGATGACTCGCACGCAGAAGTCAAAGTCAAAAGTGAAGTCATTATTATTCAAAAAAATGGTCAAAAGAAGTATGTCTCATATGTTTATTATGTATCGACTTTGAAAAGTAACATCATCAACAATAGTCAACTTATGGAAAAAGGATGCAAAGTGGAGATAAAGAATCGATCCCTCACCATAAAAATAAAGATGTAGAACTAATTGTCAAAGTTGATATGACTCGAAATCATTTCTTTACCATCGACATTGAATCAAGAGAAGGTGCATGAAAACTACGATTAAAGATGATTCATGGTTGTGGCATCTACGATTTGGGCATGAAGCTATTATCGAAGGTAAACATGGTGAAAGGACTGTCAGAGATCAACTCTCCAAATCAATTATGTGAGACTTGCATTAAAAAAAAGGTCGAAAAACACAAAACGAGACTAATTGCCAAAGGCTACAAACAAAGACAAGGGATAGACTACGAAGAAATATTTGCTCCAATGGCAAGGATCTAGACCATTAGACTTCTCACAGCAATTACAACACAAAACAAATGGAAGATTTACCAGATGGATGTAGAATCAACATTTCTAAAGGGCTACCTAGAAGAAGCTTGTATCGAGCAACCACTTAGATACATTAAAAAATGACATTATCACAAATTTATTGATTGAAAAAAGTGTTGTATGGTTTAAAGAAATCTCCAAGAGTGTATAACACAAGAATAAATGAATATTTCCAGAAAAATAAGTTCATGAAGAATCAATACGAACATTCCTTAAACACAGAATGCAAATGGTATTATCCTGATCGTGTGCTTATATGTGGACGACATGATTTTCACGAGAAACAATTCATTTATGTTTAATGATATCAAGAAAGCCATAACTAAAGAATTTGAAATGACAGATATTAGTGAAATGTTATACTTTCTTAGAGTCGAGGTGAAGCAAATGCAGGATGAAATTTTTATATCTTTAAAGAAATACACAGAGCAGACTTTAAATAAATTCAGAATGGTAGATTGCAAGTCGGTAGCCACTCCAGTAGAACCAAGCATGAAATTAAGTGTAAATTCAACAAGAGAGCCAATGAATCTGACATTTAAAAACATCGTTGTAAGCTTAAGGTATCTAACTATCATTCGACCAGACATAACATATGTTGTGGGATTGATGAGCAAATTCATGGAGAAACCAAAACAAGATCATTGGTTGCAACAAAGTGAATTTTGAGATATGTTGGTTATTCTGATAGTGATTACGAGGGATATTTGGATGATCGACAAATTACTTCTGGATATCTATTTCATATTGGCTCAATATCATTTTCATGGTCCTCAAAGAAGTAACAAACAATAGCTCTTTCAACATGTAAAACAAAATATATAACAGAGTGCACTTGTGAAGCATTGTGGTTAAAGAATTTTAAACGAGTTAAACTTAGCACAATAATCAACTAAAATTTATGTCGACAACAAGTCCATAATCTCTCTTGCCAAGAATCCAGTCTCCCATAGCCAAAGAAAGCATATTGATAAAAACTATCACTTTATACGAAAACAGGTGAAGAATAAAAATGTGGAGTTAATCTACTACAGAATTGAACATCAATTAACATATATTTTAACAAAGCCATTAAAAACATAAATATTCAACAAACTCAAAGAAACACTTCAATCAAAATCAGATTTGAGAGGGAGTATTAGAATTCAAATCTTATATTAATTCTTACTTTTGGCAAGACAATGGATGGTTCATGAATGGTTGGAAACTTCATGAAATATTAACATGAGTTGGCAAGCAGTTTAAGAAATTGATTAGCTGAAAACATGGTAACATTTTGATGATGAAACAGTAGCTAGATTTTTCTAGTATGCATGCAAAGTTTGAAATTACATGAAGGAAGTAACGTGTATGGCAGCAGGTAAGAAATGATATCAGTTTTAATGCTCAACAATTAAGCAATTTGAAGCAGCCACAAATTGAAGCGGCAATAGAGTGACGACGCAGTAGCAACAAAATTATGAAGAAGATTAAGGCGGCATAAGAAAAAAATCAGTAGCATTTTAGGCAGTTTACTACACCTATAAATATGTGTGTAGATTAGCTTTAGTATGTATGAATATATGTGAGACGGAAAAACGAGAGAGTGATAAAAAGAGCTCAGAAAAGCTTTTGTGAGTGATGACTAACCACAGCTAGTGTTGTATCGTATTTTGTTCGTATCAATAATAGTGTAAGTTATAAAGTTTATCAAGTGCCCATTCACGCTCCCAACATATACTTATTGTTTTTAAATATATAATAAGTTATGTCAATTAAGATAATTAACTAATTTAAGCTAATTAGCTAATTAACACGCACATCAAACAACTTTCATGAGTTGAATTGGCTTTCATCCCACACTTGCCGCCCCCTAGATTCACACTTCCGGCACTCAGGTTTGCTCCACGTTAGCCATAGATCGTCTTCCAACGACCGCACGACTTCATAAAGAGGCCAACCAACCGGGACCGAACCCGTTGCAACTCATTGGCAAGTCGACAATGACATCAAAGAACCAAGATCGAAGTAGCAAAAATTGTGTAATTACCATCGCTGAGACAGGCAATCGGATTCAAACAATACCTCAAATAATCCAACGGGCAACTGAAAACGTGAAATCTTCATAATAAATAACCGAAAATGGAGAACCAGAAAGTTTGAGCTTGAGAATTCTCCGGGGAAGGCAGTTGCTGGGGTCATTGATCCATATTTGTTGTGCACCATAATCAATCGCTTCAATGCTGAAATTTCTGGAGTGAGGCAGCTGAAGCAATGTCCGGGCCGAGTTATGGTTAAAGGATAAATCGAAACCTGGGCAGCCCCAAGACTTAGGCTGCCAGCCAATGACGGGAATAGAATCAGTGGCGTCGATCTGGTGATTTGGCAGACGGATTCCATTCATGAATCTTTGGTGGTGCTTGTTACAGTGTGTAAGGAGTAGTAATAGTATAAGAAGATGATGAAGAAGAAGAGTTTGAGAATGTTCATATTGATGCATGAAAAATGGAACCATAGGGTGAAATAATGATTTGAAGTCAAAATATATGAATATATAACCTCTGGTTTTGAGCTTTTCTAAACGGAGCAGTCTCAGCTTGATGTCATTCGAAAAGAATGAGTCATTTTATCGAGTACTTTATGCGCAACTTAAAGTCTAAAACGAGCCAATTGTTGGCTCGAAGCAGCCATTGTCAAATGAAGATTTTCTATTTTTATACAGTCAAAGCTATAAATTTAGGAAGAGAATCCAACAAGGTTTGAAACTCAATGTTTTTGAGCTAAATTTATTGGACAAGCATTAGCTTCATGACTTCATTCTACATTCATGATATAAAAATTTAGCAAACTACATTACCAAAAAGAAAAGGAAAAAACCTCAATATTCAGAAGTCGTAGCAACGACCGTTGCGTTCCCAATCACCGTACCGAGTGGGCTCCGGGCCTTTAGGACCACCAACCTCCCCCGTCTCTTTATTCACATGATCTTCTTCATCTACGCCTTCACTTTCTTCTTTATTCTTCGATTCAAGATTCCCTCTCACAGCTTTCCCATCTTCCTCGTCGACCTTTCCTCCATGGTTCAACTGAGATTGCTGAGCGGAGGAGCATACAAAGTGAGTCGCCGAGTTGGAAGCAAAACGAGTCACCGAATCTGATCTGAAACCAGTGAAAGACGGTTTGGAAATAGAGTGCTTTGATAGCGACGAGAATAGACGGCTCAGACTGGCTTTCGCCATTTTTTGCTCTTTAGCAAGCGGCAACGAAAATGCGGGAACGAATTGAAGCCTAAATTGGTTTTGTTCTCTGAGAAAGAAGGGATTAAAAAGGAAAGAGAGGATTGGGGGAATGGAAACACCAGCACGGCGTCGTGTTGGAACGCGATGCTGCCGCCACGTTTTTATGCTAAAATTGTTGCGACTTGGAGACTATAAAATGGCCTTCAGGCCCAAAAGGACAATTTGCAATTCAGACCAGACCAAATCCAAAGGACAATTAATGAGTCTGTTTGGTTAAGAAAATAATTTTTAATTTTGAATATTAAAGAAAAACGTTAATGCTTAATTTATTTCTAAAATCGGTGTGAAAACTAAATTTCGTCTTGTTCTGCATGTCTTAGCCTAAATTGGGTCCAAAAACCAAAACCCCTAAACATTACTAGTATTTAGTATAAACTTCCAAACTCTAAATCGGGCCAATTTGCCAAGCCCACTAGACTTTATACTTTTTAAACATAGTGTGGATTCCCTAATCTTTCTCGCTCGTAATCGACTTTATACTTTTTTAACATCATAATTACGAGTTTATACTTTTTTAACATCATATCTTTTAATGTTGTGTAGATCATTTTATAACTTTTCAATGACAAAAATATCATTTGAACATAATTCGATATATTTACCCATAAAAAACACCATTTATTGGTGGATGCTCCACCAAGCTAGACATGACACTATTTTTTAAAAAAACTAATTTGATGAAATCAGAGTTTTAAGTGAATAAAAAAGAGTTCAGTACCAAAATGAGAACACAAATATAATATTCGAGGGCTGAATCATGAATAATGCAAAAAAAAAATTGTATGTTGAGTGCAACCAACAGAAATGAATTTGAAATATATAAAGAAAAAAAAAGTATGGTACACAATGATGTTTGATAAACAAAGCAACCTGAGAAACAACATTTTCTAGCAACCAATATCGTACTTGAACACTGTGAACAAAGCAAAAATCAATGCACCCCGAAGTTCTTAGATGAATGGTGTTTTCCCTTTTACATAATCTAAAGCTCGGTGTCACAAAATCGGATCATTAGGTCGGAAACGATTCTCCTCGCAAATGGAATATAGCTCAGACAGTACCTGAAGGAAAGTTCGAAGTACAATGATATAAACAGTCTAGTTATCAAACATTAAGCATTAATATGAATTACTCCTCGAAGGAAACCGAGGAAAATACAGAGATGTTTACAGAAAATAAGAGGATAAATGTGAGAGGCCAACTTACCAGACAAGGGCACAAATCTCACATATGACTGCAAGTAATGTCAAAATCTTGCTGTGAATCTGCCATATCAAAAGTTCAAGAACATGACATTCTGAATATAGTTCTCATACTGTAAAAGGCTGAAAGTAACAAAACGTAAACAGTTTAGCAATTTTGTATCGGAAAATTTAGTTACTGAGGTTTAAAGTTTAAACAATTTGACATCAAACTATTATGAATTACTCGGAATATTGTATACTCGATCTATGAGGTTTTCGTAGATTCAAACTTCTTTCAATCACTAAAGATTGCTGGAACTTAACATCACAGGTTCAAGGTAGCAAACTTGCCCATAACGCACAAATGAGAGCAAGAACAACAAATCCAATGTAAACAGCTGTAGCGTAAACTCGAACAGAATCAAACATCATTCGTAGCTGTTGCTCGGGTCCCATGAGGAATGCTGTGCTGTTAGAGAGTATCACAAAGTAAAAAATATGAGAAATCTTGAGCAGCAATCAATTTAATAATGCTGAACTATTAAAGGAACTATTCATCACCGTACTTCATTATTTATATAAGCCTGATTCATTTTGACTGTTTCATTGACAAAACATTAATAGAGTTGTGGTGGACTACTAGATTGCCAGGATTGATAAAATTGGTTTCGAGAGCACTATATAAAAGTCTAGACACAAAGTTATGCCAGTTATGCGGCACTCAAGGGTGATGATCGTTAAAGTTTGAAATGCTATTCATTTGTTATGGTGTTCAGAAGCAACATTTATGACAATTAAACCCAAAACATTTGTTGAGAGTTCTGCTAGAATGAGGGCACCAATCAACCTACCTTCCAACTGCCAACACATTTCCGAAGGTGAACAACAATGCAAATTTGATGGGTATGGCAAACACAACAAATGACTGCAAAAGAAACAAAAAAGTTGAAAGATAATGTCATAAAGTAATCAAATACCAATAAGGAGCTTGCTTTACAATTGCAACTGGCTGTATCATTCCCCAAGATGAACATGTAAAGGACTTGCATTACAATTAGAACTTGATACAGTTTTGCTCTTTTTAGTGGAAGTGAGGAGGAAACTCGAGACCATATGTTTTTCCCCTTATGCTTTTAGCAAACAAATCTGGGATAAAGTTCTTGAATTGTGTGGCATTCCTAAACACCTTGAAGACAAACCCGTGAATTTGTTTGGATTTGGACCTAAAGAATCGGTTAAGAGTGACTATATCTACATGATCTTCACTGACAAATAGTAGAATGTATGAGAAGAAACAAAGAACCGTGCATGACCTTGTACGATTGCATTGCGAGACTATCCGGTAATGTCACTAGGATTTCAACTGACTTTGACAATAAGGATATCTGCTATATAAATGGGGGAATTGTTGAATAGACTATTCAAAACGTAAATTTTCATCTTTAATGGTGGTGTTTCTGCTACTGCAGCTGTTTTAACTTGTGATAAGCCTTCCCAGTTCTTTGGGTAACAATGAACTTTCAATTATCCAAAGTGCAGCACTTTCCCTAAGAGCTACAACTGAAAGTCTCCAGAATTCATGAACTATAAAGATATTACCAATCAACAATGCCTAATACTAGCTGAAACCTAAAATCATAATGTTTCGGAGCCCCCAAACTGAAATTTTCATCGATAATTAGAATTTCAAATGAGGAAGAATTGAATGATCATACCAGAAACATAAGAACAATACCCGAGAGTAAACAAGCGGCGGATGCGTATAATCTCTGCATCAAACAATAAATACCCAAAAATTGAATTGCTGAGAAATGAAACATGGAATCTGAAGAAAGTGGGAATTCAAAGTGTTGAAAAGGAAAACAAAGAAGAAGAAAGGAATGAACGAATGAAGAAAAATAACAGAATTACCTGCGTCGCAGATAGCGAGCATAAGCCTTCAGATTCTTCATCTAAGAAGCTTTCGGTTCTCTCTTCATCATTATTCCACATTTCTGAACTTCGAATTCTTCACAATTCCTCCTAACTGTTCTTCGGATTCTTTTTACTTTTTCCCGTTTTCTTACTGTTTTGTTCTAATTAAATTAGCTAGTCATCAGAACATGCCGCTTGAAAAAAAAACATAAAGGAAAACTTTTATTATAGTTATTATTTATCTAGAAATAGGTTAAACTACCATATGGTGACCCAGCATTTAAAATGATTTTATTGTGGTCTAAATAACTCCCAATTTAGTCACCACTTTTAGAGAAACTATTCAGTTTAATCATCTAAGCATCAAACCCCTAACGATGTTAGTGATAAAGTAACTGATCACCTAAATTTTAAGATAATTTCATTTTAGTTCAATGTAAAATCTACTTTTATCCATCTTTAACCCGTAAATAACCTTTTATGCATACTACCACAATTTTAATAAAGCGACTATATTGTTCAAACCATCGTATTTGCTTCGGTAACCACTAATCCAATAACACGCTTCAAACAAAATGATTTAGAGTTCTTAATATTTTATTTATAATTTACATTAAACGTAGAATTCAATAAGGGTCTCTGGTAAAATAGAATGATATTTTTTTAAAGATCTTGAATTCGAGTAGTTATGTATACAAGGTATATGTATGTTATCAAAATTTAAAACAATTTGAATAAATATTAACTTATAGTCATCACAAATTATTAAAAGATAAATATACAAACATAAGCTTACTAATGATAATATTAACTAACTGTACACATTTCTTTTAAGACTCCTACTAAAACACATGGATGGATGGGTACGATGGTTTTAGTATAGTGGCTTGACCATAATTGTGATAGTAGACTATAAGATTAACTGTGTGAGAAAGATGATTAGAGACTAAAGATAATCAAAATGAATATTTAACACTTAGGGATAAGATCGTAATACAAGTAAATCTCAAGGGTTAATCCTGTCAGATCGACAAAACATCCCAAGTCCACTTCAAGTCAAAGTAGCTCGAATTGTACGAACCAAAAACGAGCCCATTAAAACACAATGACAACTTCCCCAAAACACCCTCAGCATCCTTCGTCGAACTCAAACCCCCAAAAATTTTTCACCCTACCCTCCTTCGTAATTTCCCTCATTTTCAATCTCATTTTCTAAACAGCCCCGCCCGCGTCTTCACTTTCCGCCAATATATTCTTTCAGTTCACCGTTACTTCTTCGCCGTGAGGATTCCCGCCGCCTTTACTCATATTCTGCTCAATTAGGGCTTCCACCGGCATTTTTGTCGTCCCTTTTTCGAGAATCGACGTTAGCCACCTCGACAGATTCTATGTTAGGGTTTCTATATTGAGTGTTGATTTGATATTGCTGTTTCTTATTTGATTCAGAGGGTTTTGTGTTCTATTGTTATTTTTTATTTTCCGGTAAGGATTTTGTTGGGCTGCGGTGATGCCGCGAAGTTCAAGGCACAAATCTAGCAAGCATAGTTATAGGGATGATAGGGACTACTCAGATTCGGAGAAAGAGTCGAGCTTAAAGGAGGAGAAAAAGAGTAAGGAAGAGAACAGTGGTAGGTTTTCAAAGGATCCTGGATCGGTTGAGAAGATAAAGGTCGACTACAAGGATACCAGCAAGTACCTATGGATTTCGGAGAATGGCGATTATGCGGATGACTGCAGTTCCTCAAAGCGGCACAAAGATAAGGCGGACGATGTAGTAAGCGACCGGTGGAATGGTGATGAAGATAATGGTAAAGGAGAGAAGAGGTCCAGGACTTCAGGTGAATCGAAGAGTAAGAGAAGAGAGGGTGCCGAAGGGGATGATACAAAGAGAAGTAAAAGTGAGGGGAAGCATCGAGAATCAAGTACAAAGGAGGAAAGAGAGAGAGAAAAAGATAAAGAAGGAAGGAGTGATAGGTTGATTGAGAGTGAGGAACGCCGCCCTCTGAAACATTCCGCTGAAAGGACTGGTAAGATAACTAATTATTTCTTGGTTGTTTAGTAGCAATGTTCCTAAATTCGTGTTTTTTTTTAGGTACTGTATATTGCTATTGATTGTTATGTTAGTTCCCCCACCCCTTTTCTGTTTATTGGCGTGGTTTTAGGAGATACCATATTCTGCACTGAATAGAGATAATGTTTATGTAATTTCAGAACCTTTATAAGTTTATAACTTTTATATAACTTTATAACTTTATGTAATAGGGACACTATTGATTGTTATGTAAAGGATCTTTAGAACCTTTTGCATATGTAATTAATGAGTAGTCGTTTTCACTATGTAGAAAGAATATATTTGCCATCCCCTCTATTACTAACTTTTAATCAACAGATGTGAGTGGAAAACTAGTCTTAATTAATATCTCACAAATGTATCCACGGTTGAGTGTCTGTGGAGACTCTCAGAAAGCATGTTGAGTTGATATTTCTATATGAGGAAGTTTAAATTTAAACCACATAAATTTAAGAGTCAAGAGTTATCTGATTTAGGAACTTTAGTTGCTGCATGCAGCAAAGAGGAAAAGTAGATGTTTTATTTGGAGGATGAAAGGTTGAGTTGACGAACCTAAAGAGTAGCTGAGGCATAATTGAAGTTAGTGGAAGAAGATTGTTTCTACTGATTAGTTCTTATGATGTTGGGAAGGTGTGGCTTTTGCATTGTCTTATAGCCTTCTGAATAAGGTAATAAGGCAACTAATGTCTGCCCTTAAAACTTGGTGCTTTATTCTCTTTCTACATTGACAAACACCCTGTGTATGAGGCCTTAGAGCGATGGTGTATGGACCAGGATTATGTTCCTTATCTTTTAATTTTTTATATTCAACATTAAATTGAAATTGTTTGTTAGCCTTCGACTGTAGATATTCCTATTAACTGGTTTCCTTGTTTATGGGAATTAGGTTGAAGGGAATCCAATTTTGAGAATTTCATTGGGGTCTCCAATATTTAATTTTCTATTAGCTACAGAGTGTTGTTTTAAAAGTACTTCTACGCACATGGTTCCTGTTTTGGATAAGGGAATAATTTGTATGTAAATTCCATGGAGAATTTACTCGGTGGCTGGTAGTTGCCACACTTCTTTTACACTTAGGAGTGCATTTATATGTGTTTTTCAAAGTGTATGAAACCAATTTCCAACTTAGGAAACCTTGTTTAGCTAAGTTTGGTCCGAGCCTGCAGGGATCCTATGTACATTCACAATCTAGGGTCTGGTTTTATCCTCCAGTTGAGCCTCAAATAACTTGAAGGTAATGAAGGTATTGCCATGATGATGGCATTTCGAATCTCAATAAATGGTATGTTGGGACTTTGAAGGAAGTTTTAGAAGGTGATAAAATATGACGTGAAGGGACTTTGAAGTGCTAACTCGTTATATCTCTGTTCTTTGTCATTTCAGAGTTGCATGTACCAGATCGGTTGCAAAGTCCTAAATCAGAGAGCCCACATGAGAGACGACTTAGGAAAAAGAGAGATGTTTCTGATGATGGTGATAAGCATTTGGAAGATAATGGAGGCATTTTGGAAAGACAGTTGTCCATAAGCAGTGATACTGGAAAAGATGCAAGAGCAAAGGATAAGAGTTACAAAGACAAGTATCGAGAAGAAATGAACTGTGAAGACAAGTGCCAAGATGATAAACTGAGAGGTGATCAATTAGCAAGTGATCTTGCTAATAGTAAGTCCAGTGAGAAGCATTTAAGGGATAGAAAAGATGATGAGAAAGTTCAGCAGAAAAAGTCCAAGGTTCAAGATAGTGACTTTGAGCGTGAGCGTGATTGTGATCGTGACCATGATAGAGAGCGTGATCGTGATAGAGACCACGAGCGCGAGCGTTACAGGGACCGGGAGTGCGACCAGGAGCATGAGCGTTATCGTGATCTTGATCGTGATCATTATCAAGAACATGACCGCAACCGTGATCATTATCAAGAACATGACCGCAACCGTGATCATTATCAAGAACATGACTGCAACCGTGATCATGACCATGACCGTGATTATGATTCTAAATGGGATCGAGATCGAGAACGTGATCGCCATTGCAGTGATCGGGACAAGGACAGAGATCATGACCGTGATGAACATGATGAACGGTGGAGTGCAAGATACAAAGATAGTAAGGGAAGGAAGCAATCAACTTCTGGTAGAGTTGAGGTAGATTCTGATAGGGGAAGGTCTCAGTCACGCCCTGCCAATTTTGATGCTGCTACAGGCAGTAACAGGAGAAGAGCTTCTCCCAGCACAATTTCCCATGGTGGGACTGATGAGTATAGGTACTTCGCTTCTTTATCATGCCCTTGTCAATATTGTTGATTCATTCTATGTTTTAAATGTTAAACTGAGTAAATAATGTATGACATTGAGCTCTTAAATTCTATCAGATATTCAGATTATTGTTTGACAAAACAAACCGATTTTTTCCTTATCATTGTCTGTGGCATATCACTTATTTTTCGTGCTCGTGGGTATGGCCCCACCACGCTTCAAAGTGCTTTCAGTATAATTGAGTTATTTTCTCTTGCAGACATTTGAAACAAGAAGATTCGAATTATAGAGATCAAATGGCAGAGCAGAAGTCCAAAGCAGCTTCATCAAGAGAGGTAACTAGTTTAACACCTGAGAGAGGTGCTAAGTACAGATCCATGGAGAAATCAAATAGGGTAAATGAGGGCCATTCTGGGGAGTTACCAATTGAGAGGTTCTCAAGTTCAAAAGCTTCCCCAATGAGTATGAAGGAAAGATCTCCTTCAACAAGTCTCGAGCGTAGATATGTGAGTAGAAGTGGTGTTAAGCGGGGTCTTGATATAGAGGAGCTGGGATGGAGTAGTGCCTCCGTTGGTGGCAGAGAGGAGGATAATAAACTTAGTCGAGACTTACCTCTTGAGAAGCCTCTTTTGGATGGATCATTTCAAGCAGATTCTGTGTTTTATAATAAAGCTGGTCAGGGCAACTCATCTTTGATTTCACAGCCACCTGGTTTAAAAGCTGGCATTGGCAGCCCCTCTTTCATGGGATCTCTAGAAGAAGATAATAGATTTAATAACAGTGGTCGTTACAAGAGTGGTGATCTAAATGTTAGAAGAGGGCATGCAAATGCTTGGAGGGGTGCGCCAAACTGGTCAGCACCTGTTCCAAATGGTTTCATCCCATTTCAACCCCATGGTGCTTTTCAAGCTATGTTGCCACAGTTTCCTTCTCCATCACTGTTCGGTGTTAGACCCTCAATGGAAATTAATCACTCTGGGATTCCATATCATATTCCTGATGCTGAAAGGTTTAATAGTCATTTGCGCCCAATGGGCTGGCAGAATACGATGGATGGTTCTGGTCCTGCTCCTTTTCATGGTTGGGATGGCCACAATGTCAGTTTTAGAGATGAAGTGCACTTGTTTGGGCACCCCGAGTGGGACCAGAGTAGGCATCCAGTGAATGGTCGGGGATGGGATACTGGTTCAGATGTGTGGAAAGGACAAAATGGTGATTCTGTCTTACCTGCAACATTTCAGAAAGAGGACCATCATCTGCAGGTCAATCTTGATGATGTTTATGATGGACCAGAACGTCAAAAGTTTCAATATGAAAATGGCAATAATGGTGCTCAGGCGAAAGGTCTTGAGATAAGATTTGATGTCTTGTCACCAGTTAAGGAATCTTCTAGATTTTCATCTGAGATTCCACATAAGGCACCTGATTCTTCTAAAATATCAAGCGAAGATGATGATGCTCGCTGTTGTCAGGCTTATCTTTGCAAGCTTGACATTTCAGCAGAACTAGCTGGTTCTGATCTGTATGATCAGTGTAGGATTTTGATGAATGTGGAGCGAAATAGAGACTTGTCTAACGATGTAACAATGCTTGTGAATTTGAAGGTATAGAACCCTTTTCCTACACAATTTTGTCTTAATATCTATTTTTGCTGATCTTTGACTTATAATACCCTTTTTTCTCATATTCTTTCAGAATGGTGGACGACCAGTACAAAATACTTCCATTGCTTTACTGAGTCCTTCACTCATTCCTCCAGCTAATGCTTCTGTTTTTCAGGTACTTGGGTTAGCTCGTATATGTATATGTGCATGTGTATCTAAGATCTTTCTTTTCTGTTACTTCTTTGGTCAAAAGAGTTAAACGTACCTGATCTTGGTTTCTGTTCTTTTACTTTGTCTCTCTTTCTTATCTTTTTCCGGGGGGGGATGACGTTCATCCGGAAGTAGGAAATAATGGTTATAGAAGTTTACCGGAGGAATAGAATTATGAAATGTTTTACAAAAATATGGCCTGGGGAATGTTTCCTTTCTCAGCGGTTTACTTTTTTTGGACCTAAAGGTCCGTACTAATTTATAATATTTCTAATACTTATGAGCAACAAGATTCTTCAGCTACTGTCTGGAATGTTGAGACATATCCTCCCCCAGATTAAATATAGTAAATTCTACTTCAGCTTGCAACTTCTGATTCTAAACTAATGATGTTGTTTCACTTATGTTTTCCGACTTACAGAGAGCCATGGACCACTACAAGAAACACCAGCTACAGATGGGTGCTGTCCCTAATGTCAATGGTGGAACGATAGCATTTACTTCAGCGACCAAGGAGAAGGGGAAGGAGCAAAGTTTTGATCATGTTGTAGACCTAGCAGAGGAGCCAGGTCCGATTTCTGATGCAGAAATGGTGGATTCCGAGATGCTAGATTCAGATCAGCGGAAAGGAGAGGCAGTTCCAACTGCTACCCGTCACAAGAATATGGAACAGCTAGTTTCAACCCAAAGCAGGGAGTTACTGGATCATCCAGATAGCCTTTCTCCAGAAAAATCAGAACAGCTAAATACTGATTTTGGCCACATGAACACGGAGGTGCCTAAACCAGTTTTGAATGGCAATGAGGCGGAAGAGTCCGAGACCGATCAGATGAATTCAGGGGATGTAGTCAGAGATCCTTTGCGGTCACTTGATAATGCAGCAGATGCTGTTCATTTGGCCGCCGATGAGGAAAATTCAAACGATATAAACGAAACCAAAGGTAATAGTTCTGTGTACTGTGCCAAGGAAATACATACCTCTGGTGATTCAGTTAGTGGTTCTTTAAATGATTCTTCCAAGGTATCAGGGTCAAACGAGTCTGAGTCCGTAATTTTAAGTCAGATACATCATTCTCATGAAAGTACAAATTGAGACGATTTCTATATCTTTGTTCTTTTATGAGCATCATTTTAATTCATGATTTTCCTGTTCTTTTTGTCGCCTATCATTATCAAGCAAATAAAATGAGATATGCCATCTGATTTCCTGGAGTAGGCATCCTTGCATCTTGATTTATATACTCCGCTTGTTGTTCTGCTGTGTTCTATTTTTGATGCATTTAACATTTGTTGTTTCTTCCTAAATCATCTCTGGTTATTGTCTTTATAAAATGCCACAAGTTTAGGAATCAAAATGTAAGTGTTCTGAACGTTCAGGAACTATCCAAGTAATTTACCCTTTTTTATTTTTATTTTTTTGAACAATTTTTACCTAGGAGAGGGTAGGAGAATTTTGCTTATAATGAGTATTATGAGAATTTTTAACCACTTGTTCTAAAGATAGTCGATAATTTACCTTTTTTTATTGTTATTTAAGAGGAATGAACGGAGATGCACTGCATTTGATGTTGGGGATGGACTAAAATGGTATATATTTCAGTTTTGGGTTAAGTTTGGACTGTCCTAAAATGTTTTATAACTTGATTTTGACATGTGTAGCACATCATCCACATATCTTGTTATATATGTATCATAATTCAAGCATTACTTGATACGCTTTTGTACATTTATATTGGAAGCTTAGTTCATGTGCATCCATTGATGGATGATACAGGTGGTATTTATAGCATCCAATTATTTCTCAACATCCAAGCCACTGATGTTGTCGTTGCTTATTGGATTCAGTTGTTTTAAATTCCGAATAAGATGATTATGGTTTACGAAGGATGCCCGAAAGATTAATAGTATTCGAGTGATTTATGGTTTATAAATTTAAAATATTTAGTTGATTTATTTAAATTAAATAAATTTAATTTTTTTTATTAATTTTAATTTTTATAGTATAAAAACTAAATATTTTATATTTTGAAAGAGTAAAAATGTTTTAAAATAATATTAAAAACTACGAAAGAAATTTATATATCAAAATAAAATTTGAAATTAATATAAAAGCATTGATATTTGCATTAATTTAAAATTTCATGAATGGTCCGAAAAATCTAATTAAGTACTAGAAAGGAAATAAAGATGCATAAAAATTCTTCAGAGGAACAAACTAAAATTTACAGTGTCTAGTAAAATGTTTTCATATGAATATAATGTTGTCAAAATTGTTATTTAATAGGACGATATTTTTTATTATGAGAGTCATTAATAGTTATTGATGACATTTTGAAATTATACATAATTATCGAATATGGATTAATTAAATAAAGATTAAAAATAATAAATTTATTATATCAAAAGAAATATGCATATTTAAAGATGCGTGTTAACATAAAACACGTCTCTTTTTAAACACAATAAACTTAATTTATTGTAATTCAAATTTTAATTTTATTTATATTATTTTTTATCTTAATAAATTACAATTTTAATATAAGTTTGGTAATTATCTGAGAATGATTTTACCTACCACGATAAATTTATATATGATAGATGTGTGCTAACATAAAATATCTCTCTTTTTAGACACAAATAGATTTATTTTATTTTAATTCAAATTTTCATTTTTAATTTATATCCTTTTTATTAGGGGTGTGCAAATTCGGGTACCCGAAGTGCGGGTACCAGGATCTTCGAGTAATTGATTTCTCATCTCGCGTCTTGACCCGGATGTTGCGGGTACCCAGATTTTGTAGGTACCCGTATTTTGGGTACCCGAATACCTGGGTTTTTTTCTTCAAATTATTAATTAAAAAGACACACACAATTTTAAATGTTCGAAATTTCAAATTACATAGTCCAACATCCAAACATAATTAAAAAAATTTATTCCAACGTCCAAACATAATTAAAAATTGTCATGTTAGCATCATTGTTTATTTTTAAATATGGGTGACCAAAACAGAATCAAAACGTAACATTAGGTATAATTTTGAAAAAAAAAATAATCGAGGGACCAAAACATAAATTATATAATATATAAGTAACCAAATAGGTAGTTTATCCTAAAAAATACCTAACCGTGTACTCGAGTAATCGGGTACCAGGAAAAATTTAATTTTGTGACCCCGGGTAATTTTTTTAGAAAATTACCCAATTTTTTTAAATTCAAGTCTGAAGGTCAACGGATCTGATCAACCGGGTCATTTATTTTTGCACACCACTACTTTTTATCCTAACAAGTAGCGGATTTAAAAAAATCGTAATTATCTGAGAATGGCTTTACCTAACCTGCTACGATAAATTTTAACCTAATGTTTCTCTAAATAAGCCACCAAGTAAAGGACAAAACAGTGATACTATTAAATCTCAAGGGCTAACCATGTCATTTGACAAAATTATCCCAAGTCTACTTCAAGTCTAATTAACTGAATTATATTTTAAGAAAACATTAAAACACAAGGGCGCAACCTGGTTTCTTCACTTCTTCAAAATCACATCATCTTTTATCATTTCCTCCCAAAAACGCCCCCAAATTCTTTAACCCTATATTCCCTCGTTATTTCCCCCATTCTCGATCTCGTTATCTTAACCGCCTCCACTCGCCTCCATTCTTCGCCACCTTCACTCTTATTCCGTGCAATTAGGGTTTCAACCGTCATTTCTGTCTTTTTTTCCGAGAATCGACGCTGGTTATATTGAAAGATTCGATTTTAGGGTTTTTATATTGAATGTTGATATGAGGTTGGTGTTTCTTTTTTATTCGGAGGGTTTTTTATTGTTTCCGGTTTGATTGCTTTTGAGTTCCCGTAGTTGTGCTCCGGTGATGCCGCGAAGTTCAAGACACAAATCCAGCAAGCATAGTTCCAGGGATGCTAGGGACTACTCGGATACGGAGAGAGATTCGGGCTTAAAGGAGGAGAAAAAAACTAAGGAGGAGAACAAGCCTGGATCCGGTGAGAAGAGAAAGCAGGACTCCAAGGATACCGGCAAAGACCTATGGATTTCGGGGAATGCAGATTATATGGAGGAGCACAGTTCCTCAAAGCGCCGTAGAGAGAAGGTGGATGATGGAGCAAGTGACCGATGGAATGGAGGTGAAGATGATGGTAAAGGCGATAAGAAGTCCAGGACTTCTAGTGAATCGAAGAGTAAAAGACGAGAGGATGCAGAAGGAGATGATACAAAGAGGAGTAGAAGTGAGGGGAGGCATCGAGAATCTAGTAGAAAGGAGGAAAGGGAGAGAGAAAAGAAAGTTAAAGAAGAAAAGAGTGATAGGTCGATTGAGAGCGAGGAACACCGCCCTGTGAGACAATCCGCTGAAAGAACTGGTAAGATAACTTATTGTTTGTTGGCTGTTTAGTGTCAATTTAGCATGTGCAATTGCGCATTACTAATTATTCTGGTGTTTTTCTTTCTGTTGGGTACTATATATTGCGATTGATTGTTATACTATTTTTAGTATATATTGCGATTAATTATATATTGATTGTTATATAGGGACAGTATTTATGAATCGCAGAACTTTTATAACTTGTTATGTAGCTTTATCGAAATAGGGATATTATCTATTGTTACATAACTTTATAACTTGCCTTTTGAGTTGGACTGCACTAAAGAATCTTCAGAAACTTTTGCATTTGTAATTAATGACTAGTCAGTCTTAATTAATGTCTCATACATACACCTACGGTTTTGTGTGTGTGTATATAAATAATTATATAGACTCTCAGAAAGCATGCCAAGTTGACTGAGCAAGTTAAATTCAAAACCAAAGTGCCAACGGTTATCTGATTTATGAACTCTTATTTTCTGCAAGAAGCAAATAGTAAAAATAGATGTTTTGTTTGCATGATGAGAGGATGGGTTGAGGAATTTATAAAGTAGGTAACATAGTTGAAATTAAAGGGTGAATATTGTTGCTACCGATTAGTTCTTATGGCTGTGGGAAGGTGTGCATTTTGTATTTTTATGGCCTTCTAAGTATTGTGATAAAGCAACTAATAACTGATCTTAAAACTTGGTGTATTACTTTTTTTCTGCATTGTGATGCACCTTGTGTCTGAGTTCCTAGACCACTGGTTTATGGACCAGAATTAGGTTGCTTTTTTCCCCCTTCAATATTTATCTTCTGTGTTAACTTGAAATTGTTGATTAGCCTTTCCCAGTTAATATTCCTTTTGGCTTGCTTCCTGTTTCTAGGTACTTGTTTTCTAGGAATCCAATTTTGAAGATTACATTGGTCTCCAATATGTAATTTTCTATTAGCTGCAGAGTTTTGTTTTAAAAGTACTTTTCCGTACATGGTTCTCTGTTTTGGATAAGAGTATCATTTATATGTAAATTTAGAGGAAAATCTGCTGGGTTAAGCTTGGAGTTGTCGCACTTCATGTACACTTGAAGTGCATTTATGTGATTTTCTAAATATTTGAAATCAATTTCCCAACTTCTGTTTTAGTTAGTGCGGTGAGTTGGCCTTTACTTGAGGCCTAATATAAAATAGTTTTGCTGTTTAGCTCAAATATGTTAGTGCTATGTCAAGATGCGTCAGGATTTTGAGAGTCACTTTATTTCTGATTTTACACAGATTTAATGATATTGTTAGCTTGTAGACTAGATAATTTACTTGTATGTTTTTTAAATCTAATATTAAGTCTGTGATCTTTCAGTTTTCTGTTTGTATTTAGATTTCTTATTTTGCTTTGGATTGCTTTTCATTTTGTGTTCTATGCTTACGTGCACTTCCTATAGATTCGCGCTTCTGTTTGCAAAAAATGATAACCTGTATGATCATTACCGAGTCAGTATTGTCAGAGGAGTTTTTTTGTAATATTTGTTGAAATCAAACATTAACTTCTGAGGTGTTTTCTATTAATAGGCTCTTAAATATTCTTGGTAATGTCTAAGTTTTTCTTTAAGATCCAGATGTACTAGATCGGTTGAAAAGTCCTGAATCAGAGAGCCAGTTTGATAGACGACTTAGGATAAGGACGGATGCTTCTGGTGATGGGGATAAGTGTCTGGAAGATAAAGGAGATAACTTGGACGGACAGTTGTCTGTAAGCAATGGTACTGGCAAAGGTGGCAGAGTGAAAGATGAGAAGCATAAGGATGAAAGATACAAGGACAAATATCAAGAAGACATAGACTGTGAAGACAAATGGCAAGGTGATAAGTTGAGAGATGATCGATCAGTAAGTGAACATGGTAATTGTAAGTCTAGTGAGAAGCATTTAAGTGATGGAAAAGATGATGTGAAAGGTCAGCAGAAGAAGTCCAAGGCTCAAGATAGTGACTTTGAGTATGATCGTGACCATGATAGAGAGTGTGATCGTGACCATGATAGAGACTGTGATCGTGAGCATTATAGAGAGCGAGACATGGGACACGAGCGTGAACGTTATCGTGACCATTATCGAGAACGTGACCGCAACCGTGATCGTGATTATGATTCTCAATGGGACCGAGATCTTGATCGAGATCGAGAACGTGATCGTCGTTACAGTGATCGGGACAAGGATAGAGATTGTGACTGGGATGAGTTACATGATGAACGGAGGAGTGCTAGATACAAAGATAGTAAGGGAAGGAAGCGATCTCCTAATGATCGAGATGATGGTACTGATACAAAATCTAGAGGGGCCAAGGTACACTATTCAGACATGGAAAATAAATTGACTTCTGGTAGAGTTGAGGTTGATGCTGATAGGGGAAGGTCTCAGTCACGTCCAGCCAATTTAGATGCAGTTATGGTTAGCAGCAGAAGGAGGTCTTCTCCCAGCTCAAGTTCCCACGGTGGGACTGATGAGTATAGGTACTTTGTTTCTTTATCACACCCTCTTCAATATGATTGATTTCTTGTTCTATGGTTCAAATTATGAACTGTCTAAATAACGTATGGTATGCTATTGAGGTGGAAACTTTTATCAGATTTTCTGATTCTTGTTGGACAAGTTAAACTGATTGTACCTTCTCATTGTCTGTGGCATGCTATTTGTTTTTTGTGCTTGTGGGAATGGCCCTATCACTCTCCCAAGTGATTTATTGAGAATAATAAAGTTATTTTCTCTTTCAGACATTTGAAACAAGATTCGAATTATAGATATTCAATGACAGAGAAGAAGTCCAATGCAGCTTCATCAAGAGAGGTGACTAGTTTTTCTGAAACATCTGACAGAGGTGCTAGGTATAGATCCACGGAGAAATCAAGTAGGGTGGATGAGGGCTACTCTGGGGAGTTTGAGAGGTCCTTGAGTTTAAAAGCATCCCCATTGAGCATGATGGAAAAATCTCGACCAACAAGTCTTGAGCGTAGATATTTGAGTAGAAGTGGTGTTAGGCGGGGTCTTGATATAGATGAGACAGGATGGAGCAGTGCCTCTGTTGGTGGCAGAGATGAGGACAATAGACTTTGTCGAGATCTACACTCTGAGAAGCCTCTTTTGGATGGATCCTCTCAAGCAGATTCTGTGTTTTATAATAGAGCTGGTCAGGGCAGCTTATCTTTGAATACTCAGCCACCTGATCTAAGAACTGGAGTTGGCAGCCCTTCTTTCATAGGTTCTCCAGAAGAATATAATAGATTCAATAATAGTGGCTGTTACAAGAGGAGTGGTGATCTGAATGTTAGAAGAGGGCATGCAAATGCTTGGAGGGGTGCCCCAAACTGGTCACCACCTGTTCCAAATGGTTTCATTCCGTTCCAACCTGGGCCACCCCATGGAGGTTTTCAAGCTATGATGCCACAATTTCCTTCTCCATCTCTGTTTGGTGTTAGACCCTCAATGGAAGTTAATCACTCTGGGATTCCGTATCACATACCTGATGCTGAAAGGTTTAACAATCATATGCGTCCAATGGGCTGGCAGAATACGATGGATGGCCCTGGTCCTGCTCATTTTCTTGGTTGGGATGGTCACAATGTTATTTTTAGGGATGAAGCACACATGTTCAGGGGTGAATGGGACCAGAATAGGCATCCAGTGAATGGTCGAGGATGTGACACCAGTTCAGGTGTGTGGAAAGGACAAAATGCTCATGTTGACTTGCCCTCAACATCTCCGAAAGAGGACCATCCTCGGCTGGCTCCTCTTGATGATGTTTATGACCGACAGGATTGTCAAAGGTCTCAATATGAGAATGGCAGTGATGGTGTTCAGGTGAAAGGTCTTGATACAAGATCTGTTGTCATTTCACCAGTTAAAGAATCTTCTAGGATTTCACCTGAGATTCCACACAAGGCACCCGATTCTTCCAAAATATCAAGCGAAGATCATGATGCCCATTTTTGTCAGGTTTATCTTTCTAAGCTTGACATTTCAGCAGAACTAGCTGGTTCTGAGCTATATGATCAGTGTATGGGTTTACTGAATGCGGAGAAAAGTAAAGATTTGGCTAAAGATGTAAAAATGTTTGTGAATTTGAAGGTAGAGAACACTTTCTATAATTCTCTCTCAACATCTCATTTAGCCGATCTTTTACTTATAATATCCTTTCTGTCAAATTTTTCAGAATGGCACACGACCAGTGCAAAATGCCTCCGTTGCTGTGCTGAGCCCTTCACTCATTCCTAAAACTAATGCTACTGTTTTTCAGGTACTTAGTGAAGCTCATTTCCGCATTACTTCTTTGGTGGGAATAGTTATGTTTACCTTTTTCTTTTAGAAGATGGGTTTAAATGAGTTTTGTTGGAAGGAGACAAATAGATGTTATGTACTTCCGATTCTAAACTGATGATGGTATTTCACATATGTTTTCTGACTTGAAGAAAGCCATGGCCATTTACAAGAAACAGAGGCTACAAATGGGTGCTATCCCAATTGTCAATGGTGGAATGTTAGCATTTACTTCAGCATCCAAGGAGAAGGGGAAGGAGCAAAGTTCTGATCACATTGTAGACGAAGCAGAGGAGCTGGTTTCAATGCTTGATTCAGAAATGGTGGATTCAGCTATGCCAGATTCAGATCAGCAGAAAGGAGAAGCTGTTCCGGCCGCTACTTCTGTCGAGAATGTGGAACAGCTAGCTTCAATTCAAGGGAAGTTACCAGATCATCTGAATAGCCTTTCTCCCGAGAAATCAGAACAGCCCAATATTGTTTTTGGTCACGTACACACAGAGGTTCCTGTGCCTAAGCCAGTTTCAGATGGCAATAAGGCGGAAGAGATGGAGTCTGAGCAGATAAATTCAGGGGGTGTAGTTGGAGGTTCTGTGTGGTCGCTTGATAGTTTGGCCGCTGATGGGGAAAACTCAAATGATATAAACAAAACGGGAGGTAATAGTTCTGTATACTGTGCCAATGAAAGAGAGACTTCTGGTGATGGAGTTAGTTGTCCTTTAAATGATTCTCCTAAAGAATCAGAGAGTCAAATTCCTGGATCAAATGAGTCGGGATCCGAGTCGGTAATTTTAAGTCTGATAAATCATTCTCCTGAAAATACACATTGAGACAATTTCAATATCATTGTTCTTTTATTTCATGCATTTTATTTTTGCTTTTGCTGCCGTATCATTATCGAGCAAATAAAAAGAGTTTGTGCCATCTGGTTTCCTGGATTAGGCATCCTTGCATCTGTTCTTTCTGTTGGTGTCGTCAACCCGAGCCCCAAGAGGTCTGTATGGTTAGCATATATTATAGTGTTCAGAAAGGGGAACTCAAGACCCATGAATTTGCCTGCAAATAACAATAATCTGTAGTTCATGTTAACTTGGTGCAGATTATGAACAGAGAAGTTACTCTGATATAGTGTGTGAAAACCCAAGCTGTAATCCGAGAGAGATGGAGTTTGAGATTTGTTTTACCTTTCTGAGTTTTGAGCCATTTTTGTTGAAACATGTTAAGTCTATGTATAATAATATTCAGGTTGCAGTTAATGATTCCAAAGGTAAGACATATCCCTAGTTTAAAGGACACGAGTCTGGTTCAGAAATGACCAGACAAGACCAAACCTGACCCATTCTTTATTGGTTACTTTTTTATTCTATGTTCAACCCCAATCAACACAATCACAATTGCACCAATCATCAAAATGTAGGAGAAATTTAAAAAAAAACTTTGGAAAAACATACCCATCAATGCGATCAGAGATGTAGAAAACATCATCGTCATTTATAGAACATATATATGAACAAAGTACAAATTTCGGATTTGCTATTTTATTGAACAAACATTATGTACATCCATCTCCGTTATTACGACGAACAAGATACAACTATTTCTCAGGAGCTAAAATAGGAGCTAGCTTCTGGTTATTTAGCATTACCTATCTAATAATATATATATATATATATATATATATATATATATATATATGAATGTCTCATCGGTCCTAGCTACTTCATTCCTGCTTCGCTCGGTAATTTTATTCAAGTCATCTAAACAGTTACTGCCTCTTGGGGTTGTCGGATTCTTCTGTCCTTGCGAACCTTCCGCGGATCCTTGGTTGACTGTCGGCAAGTGCCTTCCGGCAAGCATACTGGACAAAGAAAACCATATTATGAATTCCAGTGCAGAGAGGTATGACAAACGAATATCCAATCATAACAAATAAAAACATGTGCTCTTTTCTTTTTTACCTTGATTTTCCTTCCAAAGTTCCTCTTTGTCTTTTTGTTCCTGTATCTCGAGAGCTTTTCTCTTCGATCTTCGGTAGAATAGCTGCTGAAGATTAACGGTCGCTCCACCGGAGAATGGATGACGCTCACGTTAACATTGCCAAGAGTCTGTCATAAAAACATAGTATCATCAACGACCCACCCACCCCATCCTGTGGAAACGGCACAATACATGCTCATTGATGGATTAAAGTTTTACTTTACGAGTCACTTGATCCGGGTTGGTTTTTGAGATCGTAATCAATCGACTAAATAAATCGAGTTTAGAATCGAAAAGCTAACTCGGCAAAAATAATTAAGGCTGACCTTTATATCTCCTTCACTAAACGCTCTCCTCATCCCGTAAACGGTATCGAAATCCATTCCGGGGAAATCGAGAAAATTAGGCTTGATTGCAGCTTCTTGCATCCATTCCATCGAGCTTAAACAACTTGAGCTGACACTTTTCGAGAACGATACATCGCAGAGCATTTCATTTTCTTGAGTTTGGTTTCCATCCGTTTCCATGACTGGAATCTTGATATCAAGGATCTCTACCAGCGGCGTTCCGATCGCCGCTTGTGCCATCAGATCCTTCTCGCACTCATAGAGAACCTCCAAAAGCTGATCGTTTCGAAACGATTCGATGTCCGCAGCCTTAAGTTCTTGTGAAGTAATGACATCTTCACCACACGAGATCAACGAGATGGCTGCAGTCATGGGATCAAGGCCTAAAGCCGGTTCCTCGATGATCGGTTCTGGAGCTTTGAACAGATCACCATCTCCTCCCAGAGAATATTCAGATATCGTCGAGGTCGGAATCAGGTTGTTCTACATTAGGCACAAACAGAAAAACAAAGATTAAAAAACAAGTACCATTAACCAATAAATAAGATCTCTTAAACAATGATTCAGCTTAAAGTTGTTAAAGATCAATACAGGCATCAGACAAGTTGAACTCAAATCCGAAGATTCCGGCTCAAATATCGGCGACCTATCACGTAATCGACCTAAAGTTCATTTCAACAATAACTAACTGAAACATATCCGTGCAAATACAATACCTAATTCTGGCCAAATACAGAATTAAGTCAAGTTCATATTGTCGCAACGATTACGAAGATTGTCACTAGAAATATTACTAATAGTGGTAATTTCTTTCTTTTTTTCCTCTACGTGAGTCGGATAGAAAGTGAAATCCCACATCGAAAAGTATAAGAAAATGGGGGAATTCTTCAAGAACACTGAGTTCATGACATGGAAATCATTTTCCAGATATATTCGCAACTTTTCTTTGCTTTTCTCCTTCCCTTTTCCAGCTTCCAGCATCTAAAGATTACTTTTTTTCCCATTTTAGACTTGTTTTGTTTGGTTACTGAGAAAGTGTTTCAAGAGAATAAACTAAGTAAAGTCCCCACCTTCTCCCTTTTCAGGAGAACCCAGAAAAGCATGAAGCTTCAGAAATACAAAAATTTCATTTTTCACACTCTGAAATCACTCAAAAACTGGAAACTATTAGCAGAAACAAGCAGAAGTTTTCTCTTTTGCTCCATTAAAAGCAACAAAGTAAACACAGAAGCAAATGAAAGAAAAAGCAACAAAAAAAAAGACACAATGAACTTGAGATGTTCAATACCGTTGAAGCATTGGGTTTCTGGGTTTTACAGTAATCTCCAAGCTGCTGGAAATCTTGAGCAGCAAAGTTCTGCATGTAAGGGAAAAACAGCCCTGTCTCTGCATACATTTTTCTTTTTAACCAAACAGAAAAAACACACTTTCCTTGATCTTCTCTTAGAAAGAATACAACTTTTCTTAATGAAATTTCACCTTTTTTTTTTAATGAAAGGGAGAAATTTTTGGTTTTGAATGATTGAAAGTTTTGAATGAATGAAAGTTTTGAATGAAGGAAGGAATAACACAAGAGTGGGAAGTTCATATATACATGTAAGAATCAGTAGTTACTGTAGAGCTAGTTGTAAGATTTTTGGGAAAGCAAAGAAAGGGTGATGCAATTACTATAACAGGACAAATCGTAAAAGGACATGAAGTACTGTGTTCTGTCCCCACTGTTCCTAATCATGCTCTTAAAAAATACTGTCCCTTCTTCCATGTGTAATGGGGTAAGGGGAGTAAGATAGTAAACTCGCTTCAACACTAGGTTGAGAATAATTTTTGTAGAAAACCTCTAAATTATAAAATGTTCTCTATGAAACTCGATCTCACGACTTCAAGATTAAGAACCTTTTCATTTCCTATTTATTTTAAAATTATTTAAGATTTTATGGTTATTTTTATAAATATTGTTAAAACTATTTTTTAGTAATTTAAGATTGATTATTATATAGTATCTATTTAAGAATTTTCTTAATAATTGACAATATATATATAATCACCGAGAGTATGAGACCGCTTAATTATTTTAGAAAATTATATTTTTATATGTTTGTAAAATAGAAACCAAAATTAATACATATTTTTGTATGTATAATAAACTTATTTTATTCTCAAATTTTTTATCATTCAATTTAGTCCTTATATGTTTATTTTATTAGATCAAATTAGTTTATGTGTATTTTTTAATAATTGTTATAAAATAGTATAAAGTATAAACCCTTAAATATTTTTAAAGTATATTATAAAATAGTATAAAGTATAAACCCCAAAATAATTTTGAAGTATACGCAATCTCTATATTTTTAATAGTGTTTTCTAAATTAACCTGTTTTATTGATGATAATATTTAATTAAGGTGCAATTGATTTATTTATTATTGAAGTGAATGCACCATGCTGGGTTCCGACTGTCTGTGGGCTGGATAGTGCTCATCACAATTACCCTTTTTTTATAATATCTTTATGTCGCATTGGAACAATTTTTCCCACGCGGCTTTTTCTTGCGCGCATGTTTACACTTTTCTCGAGTACCTACAAAATATTTTAGTTTACTGAATGTAAGATTATTAATGAATAAGATTACTGAGAATGTTATATTTTGTGTTTAGTTGGTTTAGCATGAATATAAGATTACCGTGTTTGGTTAAAGGAATAAAAGATTATTAGAATATATATTTAATCAAATTGTTCTTATTATATATTTGTTCTTTTAACAAGTTGAAAATATTTATATACTTTCTTTAAAAAATTTAAGTTCATAAAATTTATATAATTTTTTTTATAAAATTGAAAATATAAAAAAATTTAATAAAAGGGTAAAATTTTATTTTACCCATGAACTTCATATAAAATTTTAATTATAGATTTTTTTTTTTGTAAATCTAAAATAGTTTAAGGATAAATTTGTAATTTAATCTTCGTAGAATTTTTATTATTTAATGACAGAAAAATAATATTTTTGAAAGAAAAAAATATTTAAGGACATTTTAGTCCTATGATTATAAATATATTTTTTGGAGTGATTATTTGATATACATTTGACATTTTTTTAATAGAATGCATTTAATTTATTATCATGTGTTTTTAATTAATATTTAAATAAATAAAGTGTATGATTACATATTAAAACAGATTGAGAAAGAAAAACATCTCATTCTTTGTATATGCACATTGTATTGATCATTAAGTGGGAAAAATATACTCTTTTGAAACAAAAATAACTTACTGGTCATTCATTCAATAGTTTAAAAAATTGACGAATTATTGTACGAATCAAACGATTTCAGTGACAAAATAATTGTTGTTATCCTTATAATATATTCTATTATTTATTTCAATAAATACTATTTTCATTTAAAATCTAATAAAACATTATAAAGAAAGAAAGAGACAACAACAACAAGTTTTTTTTCTATACATAAAATTGATAAAAACAAAACAAAATATCTTAATTTTAGTTAATTTTAGGTACAAGGGCTAAATAAATTATTGATATAACGTTTGGGAAAGATGCCAAAAATGAATAAAATTATTGCAACTATAAATGCAAAATTTCTAAATATTTTTTCTTAAAACATGTCCTTTTTCTTGCAT